TCGCATGTACGTGTGGAATTGTCCACACTGGCTTGTAAACAATGGCACACTGTGGCCCAGTTGGCTCAGGCTGCGCGGACACGTTTTGGACGAATGTCCTTAACTGAGTTTATCATTAGCCGAGCCAATATTTTGATGCAAAAAGTATCGGTATCCGATTTTATCGCTATCCGATGGCATCGTTAACTGAGGGTCCATTGTAATTTATTCTTCATGGTGGTAGTCAAATAATCCTTGAATGCAATAAACAGATTTAAGACCCATCCAGTTCCTTTTTGTGGACATTCTTCTGCTGGAAATTAGAACTCAGAGTGCTCAGCTAAATTCATCAGGTGTTTATTAATAAAGTTTTGTAGAGGTGCAACATTAAACTCTTCTTAATGGTGTATGATACTGACAGTATCTTTGTTATACCTTTGATGGGCTTTGAGAATTTTCCTACTTGCCTGGTGCTTGCCTGGCCAAGTAGGCTGTTGCTGCTTGCAGCCCACTGGCCCACATATCCATTATAGTCTGGTTGATCTAACACTTAGGAGAGATGTTTGTTCAATTTCCTCTTGAAAACTTCTGCACGTGTTCCTGCAGTGTTTCTGATATCTTTTAGTAAGACATTAGAAAGTTTGGGACAACAGATGTTGATGCAGCATTTTCTTATTGTGTCCATGACACCCCTGCTGTTCAATGGATTTATTTAATATTTCTGGCAGTATGCAGATTTGGGACTAGGCTTTCAAGTATTATCTATTTATATATTATCATGTATCTCCCTCTCCTCCACTCCATTGAACACATATTTAGGCCTTTGAAGAGTTCCCAGTAATTTAAATGTTTTATTGACTTGATACAGGCCATTAATAATTTCTGTATTTATTCTAACTCTGATATCTCTCCTACCCTGAATAGAGCCATCATCACTGAACAATTCTCTAAGCAAGAGAGCACAAGCTCTTTGAATAGTGTCCCCAGGAGATGAATAAGACACGTGTGCAACATTTAGGTACCTATACAGTGGCCCCTTAAGTTATGATGGGCTGGTGTTATGATAATTTTGAGCTACAGTTTACCCATGTAAAGGAATTTTGTTTTGGGTTGCAATTAAAAATTTGAGATACAATATGCATACAGTGGTACGACTGTTGTGGGGCACATACTGAGGAACAAGATTAACCTAAGTTACCCGAAATGCTCTGCATAACCAGGGGCTTTCTACATACAGTGGTATGTCAATGATGTCAACTAGGTCTGTAATAACTGTATCATGTACTTGTAGAAATAAAGATTTATTATTATTATTATGGTGCCCGGCAACACAGCCGGGTGCATACCCTCACATCTTCCTTGTCAGAATTCACAGGTTCAAACCTAAAGCAATAATACATACACTTTTCTTCTTATTATTATTACTGTATTATTATTATCATTTAGGTTGGGACTTATGGGTGGGCCAGCCAGCGATGTGGTAATTTGCCCCTTGGAGAATGTTTGAGCCAGTAGGAGTGGGGGACCCTGAGGGTGGCTTAGCAGCCAGCCAACAATGGGGTTGAATGTCTCTGTAGTAGAATCTCAGTCCATAGCAGAGCTTGTACTACAGTTTATTTCTTTACTCTTCAGTTTGAAGCTATCATAACTGTGCTTCACAATAACTCTGGCCTGGTTACCCTTCATAACTGCATTTGTCTTAAAATTACACCATCTTTTGCATTACCAAGTCATCATCATCCCTAAAGTGTACAGTAAAAAAAGGATATTTCTCTGAAGATCAAGCAATAAATTAGTGCACTGGTGTGTGAGTATGGCTTTTCACAATCAGCCATCTCTGTTATTATCAAGCAAATAGAAATAATAAAGAGTATTAACCCTTTCAGGGTTGGTGCCGTACTAGTACGGCTTGCATGCCAGGGTTGGTGCCGTATTAGTATGCATAAATTCTAGCGCCTTCATATCTAGCGAGAGAAAGCTGGCAGGCCTACATATGAAAGACTGGGTCTATGTGGTCAATGTGTGCAGCATAAAAAAAATCCTGCGGCACACAGTGCATAATGAGAAAAAAAACTCCAACTGTGTTTTTGGTTTAAAACAGCGACTTTGCAGTGTATTTTCGTATGCTATTTATGGTTGTATTCTAGTTTTCCTGGTCTCATTTTATATAATGGAAGACATATTACGGAAATTGAGATGATTTTTATTGGTTTCACAATGAAAAGTACCTTGAAATTGAGCTCAAACTAGCAGAAATGTTCGATTTTTGCCAAAGTTCAGAAGTAAATAAATCAAGCCATGCGTCCAATACACGTCAACTGGTGAGTCTAATATTCTTTCACAAGTGCGCTGATATTATTTATACCATTTCTACACTAATGCAGCAGTCTGCATAACAGTAATCTTCTATTTTTTTGTGAGAATAAAAATTCAAAGTGGAAAGCAAAAGAAATGTAATAGAGGCTGTGGGATGTGACTAATGAACAGAGGAAATGTTATTTTTGTGCCAGGAAGGTCTGTCTTGTTTATTCTAGACCCTATTTGGAAATTGGCATCTTTTGAAATTTGTGTGAAATTGGCAAAATTGCCAATTTTGGACAACCTTATTGGATAGCTGAAATCAGTAAATGGGTGGTTTCTTGTACTCATTCAATAGAAAAAAAATGGAGTTATAGTGAAATAGTTATGATTTTTGTCGACTGGTACATTGGAATTGGCCGAAAATAGTGCTCAAAGTGGGTGAAATCGCCAATGCATAAACATCATTGAGACCGCTAACTTCGCAAGAGCAGAATTCCATAAGCTTTCCATCAAATTTCATACTTTTGGTGTCATTATGATCGGGAAAAGATTCTCTATCATTTCATAAGAAAAAATAATTACCTTTTTCTTTCGAAAAATTTCCGACCCTGAGAACAAGTTTAGGAGAGGGCCTGCCGACCCTGAAAGGGTTAAAGTTGTTGATGAATCTAAGCTAGTGAAAAAAAGGCAGAGAAATTATAGCGATGGAAAGAATGTTGTTTTTTGTGGATAAGAGAGAGGCAGATGAAGAGAGATAAAGTGACTGCAAGTAATATCTGTGAACCTGTAAGTCCAATGTACAGTACAAGTTGTACTTCTGGGGTCTTGGAACTAATTTATTTATTTATTTATTTATTTATTTTTTATTTGGACATTACACATAGTTGTACAAAGAAATATAGTGATTGGGTGTACATGCCAAAAGTCCCCTTGTATGCAGAGCATTATGGGCAGGCTTAAAATTAACTTAAGATTAACTAAGCAATGATATATTCAGTGGTAAAAATTACAGTAAACAAATTACAACATGAAGTACAAATGAGTATTTCAAATAAGAAGCATTAAAGCTGTACAAATTTGTAGCATAACAATGTATCATATAATCGAATCAGATTGAGTAAAATCAATGATTTGTAGTGCAGAAACAGATCACATGGTCATTAGATGAATTGCTGTGCATTCAAGAGAACGGAGTATTCTATTAAGTAATGTAATTAAAAAAAAACATAGTTTGATATGGTCACAGGTTATACATTTATGAGATCCAGTTATTCAGTATTTATTTAGTTGTGGTTGAGTAAGTGGTTTTTAAGAAGAGTCTTGAATTGATAAACAGACAGTATTTCTTTTATATTCACAGGTAATGAATTCCCCATTTTTGGGCCTTTTATGTGAATTGAGTTTTTACATAGTGTGAGATGGACACATGTTTGGGATTTGAGTTATGTTAGTTTTGAGATATGATACGTCATCTGGAATGAATTAATATCATAACTCAAGGGACCACTGTATAACCAAGAATGGTTGATCATGATTTAGGCTGTCCCAATAATTGAAGCAGACCTAGTAAAAATCCATAAAACAAACCAGAGTTACTAGGGGGTCTCTACTCTTCCTTGTGCAAATTGTCAAAAATCTAACATTTCCACCACTTTGAGACTTATCTCAAGGTACTTCCTGTCTGAAATCCACCAGAATCATCTCCATTTCACTTATATGTCTTCCATTCTATCAATTTATACCAAGAAATGGAAAATAAATCTACAAAACCCACCCTAGAAAACACCTCAAAGTTGCAGTTTTAAACCAAACACATTATAATGTCTTTATTTCTGCAAGTACATGTACAAGGTATACAGGCCTAGCTGACATCGATGACATACTGATACATAGAAAGCTGCCTGTTATGCAGAGCATTTCAGGCAAATTAGGTCAATTTTGTCCCAGGATGCGACCCACACCAGTTGACTAACTCCCGGGTACCCACTTTACTGATGGGTGAACATAGACAACCAGTGTGAGGAAACACACCCAATGTTTCTACCCTTGTTGGGAATCGAACCTGGACCCCTTACCATGTGAAGTGAGAGCTTTTGCCACCAGGCCACAGGCCACTGTAGGTTAGAGGTTTGTTTTTTCCCATCATGCATTGAATGGTGCAGGATTTTTTCTGTGCTGTGTGCACTCACTGCACAGACCTATTGTCTCATGTCTAGGCCAGAATTTACCACTCTCAGTATACATATGAAAGCTGTGCTTAAAACAGATTTATGGGAGTGACACAGGTGTTAATGACAGATTTACGTGGAAAACAGTGAAAGGGCTAATATCTAATCAGTAGGTAAAATCTCTTTGCAGTTATATCACAGTAGTATAGTTCTGTTGCACGAATTATCATTAACTCTTCAAACTTTTGTGGATTGTTAACAATTGTTTTATGATTATACAAGTCATTATTAATAAAGGCTTTGAAGGGACTTGAACTAAAACTTGCCTAAGCCATGTTGGTGAGATTCATCTGTAAAAACTTTCATTGTGCTCACACTGGGACCAACGCTTCTTAGGGTATAGAAATATACCTAGTTTGATGAATATTATAAGGCAGTCACAGTACACTTGTTAGCACACAGACCTGAGTTTTTGGAATAGCTTGTCATGGGGTAAAATACATACTATCCATTCTGTGCATCATGTCATTAATTTGTTTCATATCTCCCTAGAAAACTGACGATGGAGATTCAGGAAATGAAGAACCACGTGAACCTGGAGATTATTACCAAACACAGGAGCAAATGCAGCAACTACCACACCAACAGCAACAGCAGCAGCAGCAGCAGCAGCAGCAGCAGCAGCAGCAGGAACATTATCAGCTACATCAATTAGAACAACAATTACAACAGCAAACACAGCATCAGCAACAGCAAGAGGGAACCAGCAGCAGTTTGAATGTGCTAGTTAACGACGAAACTGAAAATGATGACTATGATTTTGTTGATGATGGTGCTGTTGATAGCATAGAGGTTGTTAGCAGTGAATCAAGCTTAGTCTCTGCTTCAGACTTACCTGGAGCAGGACCATCTACAGTATTACCCAGAGCAGTAGGTGGACAAGCATCAACAAACATTCCTGTATGCTCTGGGATGGTCAATGCTGTTGGTGTCTTGGGAAGTATTGGTGGTGGACCTGCACCTGGTTCCTCAGGTAATAGTTTGTTAATAATGGGAGCTTCAGGAGGAAGCTTACCAGGACGGAATGGTGCAGGTCTAGGAGGTGGAGGTGGAGGTGGCAGTGGCAGTGGCAGTGGCAGTAGTAGTGGTGTGGGAGGAGGCAGCCTTCGAATGGGAGAGACAAGACGACTCCTTGTTAGGAAAGCTGAAGGAAGAATGGCTGTAGTACGGGAAACTCTTCAAGAGCAGATAATCCAGCTGACTTGTCCTCGTCCAAGTGAAAGCCTTGACCCAACTCTCATACATCGTATGCCTCCAGAAGGTCAGTTATAACATCTGTGAAATAAACTTTTGCTGCACAAGCCAGAACAAAAATTAAAATTTAGGTTTTTAATAAAACTTACATTGCATATAATTACTTGTGTTTTTAGAGAGCAAATGAGCAATGTTTTGACTTAGTTTCATTTTTGTTTCTAATTACAGTAGCTACTAAATAAATATAATTAGTTTCTAAATTTACAAAGAGTAAATTTATCTCCTTAGTGTATTATGTACAAACTCTGAAGAATTGTTACTGAAGTTTTCAATGAAGTTTTAGCTGCATGAAGTGATGACTTATGGATAGTCTCTCCTTCTCAACTGAAAGGGTACCTTGTAGTTCTTCTTGAAGTATTTTGACAAATTATAACCCTTCCAGGCATTGTAGGCAGCAGTGGCATAATATTAGATATACAGTAAATCCTTTCGTAAAGCAACACTACATAAAGCTCTTGAAAAAGCCGTGATAGTGTGCTTCATATGCATGGAACATCAAGGTATGCACAAAATTGTTGTAGTTTGTTCTGTGTTAGGACAGGTTACTCCCTCTCATCCTTGCAGCCTGCAGTTGCTCTCTGGAAGTGTCAGGACCCTCAAGAGAGAAATGTCTTGATGCTAGTGATGGGCTCTTGATCCAAGAGCCTGATTGAACCTGATTTCCTCCTATTTCCATGCATTGTATGATTCCTATGGTTTTCAAGCTTCATCCTTGATTGTAAAAAATAATGATATGTAGATGCAGTATGTGTTCTGTGTAATAAAATATTTTTTTTTTTTTTATCACACTGGCCGATTCCCACCAAGGCAGGGTGGCCCGAAAAAGAAAAACTTTCACCATCATTCACTCCATCACTGTCTTGCCAGAAGGGTGCTTTACACTACAGTTTTTAAACTGCAACATTAACACCCCTCCTTCAGAGCGCAGGCACTGTACTTCCCATCTCCAGGACTCAAGTCCGGTCTGCCGGTTTCCCTGAACCCCTTCATAAATGTTACTTTGCTCACACTCCAACAGCACGTCAAGTATTAAAAACCATTTGTCTCCATTCACTCCTATCAAACACGCTCACGCATGCCTGCTGGAAGTCCAAGCCCCTCGCACACAAAACCTCCTTTACCCCCTCCCTCCAACCTCTCCTAGGCTGACCCCTACCCCGCCTTCCTTCCACTACAGACTGATACACTCTTGAAGTTATTCTGTTTCACTCCATTCTCTCCACATGTCCGAACCACCTCAACAACCCTTCCTCAGCCCTCTGGACAACAGTTTTGGTAATCCCGCACCTCCTCCTAACTTCCAAACTACGAATTCTCTGCATTATATTCACACCACACATTGCTCTCAGACATGACATCTCCACTGCCTCCAGCCTTCTCCTCGCTGCAACATTCATCACCCATGCTTCACACCCATATAAGAGCGTTGGTAAAACTGTACTCTCATACATTCCCCTCTTTGCCTCCAAGGACAAAGTTCTTTGTCTCCAGAGACTCCTAAGTGCACCACTCACCCTTTTCCCCTCATCAATTCTATGATTCACCTCATCTTTCATAGACCCATCCGCTGACACGTCCTCTCCCAAATATCTGAATACATTCACCTCCTCCATACTCTCTCCCTCCAATCTGATATCCAATCTTTCATCACCTAATCTTTTTGTTATCCTCATAACCTTACTCTTTCCTGTATTCACTTTCAATTTTCTTCTTTTGCACACCCTACCAAATTCATCCACCAATCTCTGCAACTTCTCTTCAGAATCTCCCAAGAGCACAGTGTCATCAGCAAAGAGCAACTGTGACAACTCCCACTTTATGTGTGATTCTTTATCTTTTAACTCCACGCCTCTTGCCAAGACCCTCGCATTTACTTCTCTTACAACCCCATCTATAAATATATTAAACAACCACGGTGACATCACACATCCTTGTCTAAGGCCTACTTTTACTGGGAAATAATTTCCCTCTTTCCTACATACTCTAACTTGAGCCTCACTATCCTCGTAAAAACTCTTCACTGCTTTCAGTAACCTACCTCCTACACCATACACCTGCAACATCTGCCACATTGCCCCCCTATCCACCCTGTCATACGCCTTTTCCAAATCCATAAATGCCACAAAGACTCTTTAGCCTTATCTAAATACTGTTCACTTATATGTTTCACTGTAAACACCTGGTCCACACACCCCCTACCTTTCCTAAAGCCTCCTTGTTCATCTGCTATCCTATTCTCTGTCTTACTCTTAATTCTTTCAATAATAACTCTACCATACACTTTGCCAGGTATACTCAACAGACTTATCCCCCTATAATTTTTGCACTCTCTTTTATCCCCTTTGCCTTTATACAAAGGAACTATGCATGCTCTCTGCCAATCCCTAGGTACCTTACCCTCTTCCATACATTTATTAAATAATTGCACCAACCACTCCAAAACTATATCCCCACCTGCTTTTAAACATTTCTATCTTTATCCCATCAATCCGGCTGCCTTACCCCCTTTCATTTTACCTACTGCCTCACGAACTTCCCCCACACTCACAACTGGCTCTTCCTCACTCCTACAAGATGTTATTCCTCCTTGTCCTATACATGAAATCACAGCTTCCCTATCTTCATCAACATTTAAACAATTCCTCAAAATATTCCCTCCATCTTCCCAATACCTCTAACTCTCCATTTAATAACTCTCCTCTCCTATTTTTAACTGACAAATCCATTTGTTCTCTAGTCTTTCTTAACTTGTTAATCTCACTCCAAAACTTTTTCTTATTTTCAACAAAATTTGTTGATAACATCTCACCCACTCTCTCATTTGCTCTCTTTTTACATTGCTTCACCACTCTCTTGACCTCTCTCTTTTTCTCCATATACTCTTCCCTCCTTGCATCACTTCTACTTTGTAAAAACTTCTCATATGCTAACTTTTTCTCCCTTACTACTCTCTTACATCATCATTCCACCAATCGCTCCTCTTCCCTCCCGCACCCACTTTCCTGTAACCACAAACTTCTGCTGAACACTAACACTACATTTTTAAACCTACCCCATACCTCTTCGACCCCATTGCCTATGCTCTCATTAGCCCATCTATCCTCCAATAGCTGTTTATATCTTACCCTAACTGCCTCCTCTTTTAGTTTATAAAACCTTCACCTCTCTCTTCCCTGATGCTTCTATTCTCCTTGTATCCCATCTACCTTTTACTCTCAGTGTAGCTACAACTAGAAAGTGATCTGATATATCTGTGGCCCCTCTATAAACATGTACATCCTGAAGTCTACTCAACAGTCTTTTATCTACCAATACATAATCCAACAAACTACTGTCATTTCGCCCTACATCATATCTTGTATACTTATTTATCCTCTTTTTCTTAAAATATGTATTACCTATAACTAAACCCCTTTCTATACAAAATTCAATCAAAGGGCTCCCATTATCATTTACACCTGGACCCCAAACTTACCTACCACACCCTCTCTAAAAGTTTCTCCTACTTTAGCATTCAGGTCCCCTACCACAATTACTCTCTCACTTGGTTCAAAGGCTCCTATACATTCACTTAACATCTCCCAAAATCTCTCTCTCTCCTCTGCATTCCTCTCTTCTCCAGGTGCATACACGCTTATTATGACCCACTTCTCGCATCCAACCTTTACTTTAATCCACATAATTCTTGAATTTACACATTCATATTCTCTTTTCTCCTTCCATAACTGATCATTCAACATTACTGCTACCCCTTCCTTTGCTCTAACTCTCTCAGATACTCCAGATTTAATCCCATTTATTTCCCCCCACCGAAAACTCCCCTACCCCCTTCAGCTTTGTTTCGCTTAGGGCCAGGACATCCAACTTCTTTTCATTCATAACATCAGCAATCATCTGTTTCTTGTCATGCGCACTACATCCACGCACATTTAAGCATCCCAGTTTTATAAAGTTTTTCTTCTTCTCTTTTTTAGTAAATGTCTACAGGAGAAGGGGTTACTAGCCCATTGCTCCGGCATTTTAGTCGCCTCATACGACACGCATGGCTTACGGAGGAAAGATTCTTTTCCACTTCCCCATGGACAATAGAAGAAGTAAAAAGGAACAAGAGCTATTTAGAAAAAGGAGAAAACCTAGATGTATGTTATATATTTGCATGTGCGTGTCTGTGAAGTGTGACCAAAGTGTAAGTAGGAGTAGCAAGATATCCCTGTTATCTAGCGTGTTTATGAGACAGAAAAAGAAACCAGCAATCCTACCATCATGCAAAACAGTTACAGGTTTCTGTTTCACAGTCATCTGGCAGGACGGTAGTACTTCCCTGGGTGGTTGCTGTCTACCAACCTACTACCTATAAAGATTACATAAATATTACTTCTTGCCTTAAATTCTGATTGCTGGTGTATGTTGATTTTGAAAGGAGTGGAGAAGGTTGGTGTGACTTTACAGGGCTGAGGAGGAAGGTTGTGGTTTGCTAGCTGAGGTGGAAGATCATGGATTGTTAGCATAGGTGGATGATTAAGGTTGGTGCTTTGATATTGACAGTTGTACTGGAGTACTGAGAAATTCTGTAATGCCTCTGTGGTCTCTCTCATACTGCAGTACTTTGTACAGCTGATAGTCAGGCATCATCAGCTGCTCTAGACCCTGTTTCAGAGCAGTGCTTATAAATTTGTCAGGAGTCCTAACATGAAACTGCTCATGTAACTGTTACAGTGTTGACTATTTTTCTTCAGGTTATCCCTCATTTTCATCTGTTATTAGCCTTCATTGTATCTGCACACTTAGCTCTGCCTCCATTTCCTCTGGACTTTTTTCTTCCTCATCATCATCTGACAGGTCATTCACATTTTCCTCCTGCATATCTTCAAAGCCCTCATCAGCCAGCTCAATGATTTCCTGCACCTTGCACTTAACTGGGGGGAAACCTGTGAAAGTATTCACCACTCAGCTATACCTTTTTCCTAGCTTGCATTTAATGTTGATTAGGGCACTGCATTCTATGCA